TGTCCTGAACTTGACTGGTGGCTGTAGAAATAGAGATTGACAGGTTTGGGAAAACTTTAGGCAACAGAACTGACTGTACTGGTTGGATTGGAAGAAGTATATTGAGTCCATGAACTTGGTGGCGTTGCTGGTATATATTAAAGGATTGATGTGTGCTGTGACTGATAAACTAAATTGAAAATGAAATTATACCTCTGATCCTCTAGAGTAGCCATTAACTATACTATATTAAATGATTTTTCCCTCTTGATCTTTCAGTGATCCTATTTCTCCATTAGAGATTTTCCTAACTGGCAGCTCTGGCCTTTCAAGAGAAAACTCTCACCACTTCTCATAATTTTGCTGCAAGACCGAGCTATGGCTTGTTTGTCAGTCTGTCAGCCACTTTAGTTGGCCTCATGATCAAAGAAACTAGAAATGAGATTTATTTTTATTTCCAAAATTGCACAGAACACTGAGGGCTACTGCACCAAGAAGGAGCTAGATCTGCCTTTTGACATGATGGGCATTGGTCATTAAGAGCCTTTAGCCTTCAGAGAGTGATTCAGTAAGGTAAAAGTTTAGAGAGAATTTTATGGTTGCCTGGGTTTATGTTAGCTACAATAACGTGTTAAAACAGTTCTGTAACATATTTGGATAGTTGAAACTGTGGTATTGAGTCAGTGTTTCTCATTCACAATCATATACCGGTCTGAGTTACCTTTCAGGTAGATGGTTACCAATAATAAAATGCCCAGGTTAGAGATGATTTACTTAACTTTTTTAAAAATCAATAAAGCAGATTGAAGACTATCTAATCTCTCTCTCACCCACCTATATCTTGATCTTGAGTAGATGGAATTTTACCTGGTTTGCTAGAAATTGTATCTAACTTATAATCATTTTTGTGTTATACCACTGTTCAGTGCTTAGGAAGAAAGGAGATGTCTATGTGTGTACGTGTTTCCTAGCAGAAAATTTAAGAAGTTGTGAACAATATAGCCTAACACTTTTTTTCTTTGAATCTGTTATAGTGTGATAACTGTGGCGTAGAACCTATCCAGGGTGTTCGGTGGCACTGCCAGGATTGTCCTCCAGAAATGTCTTTGGATTTCTGTGATTCTTGTTCCGACTGGTAAGTGTTTTTTTCATTGTCAGTCTTAAATTTTGGTAAGAAAAGAGCTTCTCAGCCATTAGTGAATTTGATTTCTAAACTTCTTAGAAAACAGTCACACTTAGTGAACTAAACTTTGTTGTTTTAAGCAATTAAATTTTTTCCTTAACATGTCAAGTAACTTTCCATTAGAGATTTTGATAGATTAATGGATTTAAATAGGTAGAGCTGTGAAGAAGTTTTGGAATATGTAGACCAAAATGCATCCACTTCCATCTAATGACGTGTTTGTGTGTATCTGTGTGTGTCTTTTTTCTTTGCAGCCTACACGAGACAGATATTCACAAGGAAGATCACCAATTAGAACCTATTTATAGGTCAGAGACTTTCTTAGACAGAGACTACTGTGTGTCCCAGGGCACCAGTTATAATTACCTTGACCCAAACTACTTTCCAGCAAACAGATGACATGGAAGAGACCATCATTTACTAGTCCTCTTCAACACATAGCAATGGTATCATTGTTAATTATGTGCACAGTTTGGAAAGATTCTCTGCTTTCCCTGAAATGACACTCAGCATGAGAGCTTCCTGAGTGTTCTCGTCAAGTACAGCTCTGCACCGTGTGGCTCTAGATCACTGTTCAGCAGCTGAACATTCCTTGTGAGCAAAGGGTATCCCTGGTGAATTTGTCACCACTACCTTAAAGCCTTTTAGGTGGTGATCGTAAATGGGTGAGATGGAAACGAGAGCACACATTAGAGAGTAAATTCCAAAGGTTTCAAAGAACTCGGTCATAAATATGATAATAAGAAGACAAAGTATTTATATTAAAACAGTTTAGTAGCTTTCAGTTTTGTGAAAGTAGTTTTCAGCACAGAAACTGACTTCTTTAGACAAAGTTTTAACCAATGATGGTGTTTGCTTCTAGGATATACACTTTAAAAGAACTCACTGTCCCAGTGGTGGTCATTGATGGCCTTTAGTAAATTGGAGCTGCTTAACCATATTGATACCTAATTTCTTTTAACCACAATGAACTGATCTTATTACCAACAGTGAAGCACTACAGGAGGCAGCTGTGGCATTGCTTCCTTAACCAGCTCATGGTGTGTGAATGTTATAAAATTGTCACTCAGATATATTTTTTAAATGTAATGTTATATAAGATGATCATGTGATGTGTACAAACTATGGTGAAAAGTGCCAGTGGTAGTAACTGTGTAAAGTCTCTAATTCACAACATTAATTCCTTTAAAATACACAGCCTTCTGCCTCTGTATTTGGAGTTGTCAATACAACTCATCAAAGAAAACTGCCTAATATAAAAATCATATATATGATAATAATTTCCCTTTTTTGTAGTCTGCACAAGATCCATAAAAGATTGTATTTTTATTACTATTTAAACAAGTGATTAAATTTAGTCTGCACAGTGAGCAACAGTTCACATGCATTCTTTTATACTGCTGGATTTTGTTGTGCATCATTTAAAACATTTTGTATGTTTCTTATCTGTGTATACAGTATGTTCTTGAATAATGTTCATTTGTCCAGGAGAACTGTGAGAAATAAACTATGTGGATACTGTCTGTTTATATTATAGAATGCTTGTTGTGACTTCCTTTTGGTTAGATTTTGGATTTTTTACCAGTGTTAAAACCAGAAATTGGTTTTTTAAAGTTTTTGCTTTACATATACAAGGGTTTTCTCTCTGTCCTTTATAATACGGAATATATTATGGAAAAAAGGGTGAACTTGAGAAACCCTGCAAAAGATGATATTTTCACTATGTGCTAAAATACTAAATTAAACAAGCTTACAAAAAAGAAATTCAGACTTGGTTAAAGAAGGCGGCAATTCTTATTGCCCTGATGTGAAAACTAGTCTTAAGTTGAAAAATTTTATTCTAGTTGTTTTTGATGAAAATAAGCCCCATGTATTTAAACATATGATTTTTGAAAATTACCTTGTTTCCTGAAAATTATTATTGACTATAGGACAAATAGTATAAATATTCTAAGATTGATTAAGTGTTACACCTGACCCAATTTTTAGAGTCATCTGTTTTTTCCTATTTTAAATCAAGGGAACATTATTTACTAATTCTCTTTAATGCATAGGTACTAAATTCACACCCTGAGTTTTTTTAAATGAGAAAAGTAACAGAATTTTAAATATAGAAATGAGAATTTTAAAGTAATATATTGATTATAGATAACTGATGATATAGATACAGTATATCAGACAGAAAAGTAAATGGACTTGAGCTTAACTTCTCACCCTGGAATTATTAGTGGGGGGAAGAGGGGAATTGTTAGAATTCTGGGCATTTTGATATTAAATGTTACGTGAATATGCCAGAAGATCTTTCAACCTATAATTAAGCAAGACAGTAGCAGTTGATGGTAACTTCTGTAACTTCTGTGTTTGTATAGAAATAATGCCAGTTAGTTTCGGAGAACCATTCAGATCCATTAAAAAATTCCATAAAATATGAGGTATGCTTTGGAACAGGGCTATGAGTGATACAATTGTAATACAAACAGAATAGACAAAATAAACCACTTGAATGCATTTTTAAGAGCAAATATTTGAAACTTTGGTAAAGAGGATTATTTTCTGCTTGAGCAGAAGATGTGTTTATTTTGCATTTTTCAGCTCCAAGAAAATAGCCTCCATGGTTTTAAAAGGCCCTAAAGGATAGTAGTAGGTATTATCTGTCGTTTTTTTAGTTTGAGGGTTGCAGGAATGGACAGGGCTGTCATGTGCCAGTAGGCTTTCCACCTGCCTACAAAGAAGTATTGGCTGTAAGTGACAACAGACTGTACGAGACCTACTTGTTGAAAAATTTCTTATTAAGTGGTATTCAGTAGGTTAAAAATCTATTTCCTGATATATTGTGCTCAAGTTACTTGCTAATAACTGAAGACACTTTTAATGACATGTAAAAACACTGCTATAAGGTTTAGGCAGAGGAGATTTCCTTTGGTGTGATGCACTTATAACACCAAACACTGATATAGTGCTTACTGTGGCCAAGCAAGCATATAGTAACTAATTGTCAACAACTCTATAAGGCAGGTTCATTTGTTACCCTGTTTTTGTCTGAGGAAATCTAGCCAGAGAGAGGTTAAATAACTTGCCCAAGGTCATATAGTTAGTAAAGTGGGGTGATGCTTGGACTTTGGCCTAGAGAGATCACTCTAGAGTCATGTCTGCTTCACTACCCTATTTCCCAAGCAAGAATATTTCCTTTGTGTCGGGCATCACTAACGTGTTAGAAGTGAAGATGTGCAGGGTTTGCCTTACATTCTTTTTTCCTGGTGTGGTGTGGTTCCCAGAGTACAAACCGAAGCATATGTCTGGGTCTGTAGTACAGAAGAGAGAAGCATATCTATGGGTGAGGAAAAAGCACTGACATGTTCTGCCATTGTGAATTAGAAAACCACATACATGTAATTTTCGTGTTCTAATTTGGCAGCAAATGTGGTCATATGGCTTTGGGCAAAATTGGGACTAAGGCTTGTATCTCATGCCTTGGGAAGGATTTTTTCCATGCATGGTGGGTGCTTCTCATTTAACCTAATAATAGTATGCCTTGTCTGTTTTTCTCCCCTTCCCTCTTTTGTTTAATCACAACAATTTACTGAGGTGTGAAGAACATTTTTTAAGAAATGAAATGGAGAAAACGATACATTACATGTAGTAAGGATAAGTATTATTTTGTGAAATGTCTTTTTCAGTTATAAGTGTGGTGTGCTATATAAACTGTATTTCTTACTGTGGACAACAAAAATTGAAGTCCATTGTTCTAGGTGCACTGGATAGAATTAAAAGTCTCCAGATTCCAGTAGGTGTTTGCACAAGCTTCAGAAGGTATTGTCCTTTTTAAGCTGTAAAGTGTTTGTTTTTATTTCTTACTTTAACAAAAAATGTGCTTCTGTTTATATGATCCAAGAGGAAACATAATTAACCTCTTTTTCACAGTTCATGTAGCTAGTTAACTGGATTTTGAGAGTTATGTCACATTTAGCTCCATGAGAACAGAGACCATCCCTGTCTCTATCTCTAGGGCCTTTTAATAGATTCTCGATAGATATTTGTTGGTTGTATGACCAACATTTTGGTGAGTTACATTTTTTTTCCTCTTGGAAGTTAGTTAGGAGATACCACCTATGTCTGACTGTGTCTGTGAGATTCTTAGCTTACCTTAGGAGATGATCTTTACAAGGCTCTGAGAGGACAAGGGAATTGGATTCTATCTTATCTGGAAAATGTGGTTCAACCCAGGTGGCTGAGAAGGCTTTTTTCCTCTGTGGGACCCCAGTTGGGCCATGTATCTTGATTCTCTGCCATGTGTTTAGAAATGATATAATGGAAGGGACACTGGAGTGGAAATTCTGGGTACTAGTCCCAATTGTGAAAGTGAAACATTAACTAGATATTGACAAAGAACCACCCTTCATTGAGCAGTAGGAACTAGTAAATGGTTTACGTGTATTATTGACTTGTTTAATCCTCACAACTCCTCTGTGAGGTTGGTTACTATTATGTTCTCTACTATATACGTGAGAAAACTGGAGGTACAGAGAATTTAAACACGTTAACGCTGAGTAGTAATTGCTGTGTGTGGGGCTGGCTATACAAAGCCTTGCCCTTGTGGAGCTTATAGTCTATGCAGAAGACATGCAATAAATAATAAAAAGTATTAAGTAGAGATATACTTAGAAGAAAAATAATGCTCAAAGCAAAATAATAATAATGGGAGAATGGGGAACAGTCTACATTTTAGATGGAATGACCAAAGAAATCTTCAAATGACAAGGTTAAATTTAAACAGAGACCTGAACGGAGTGAGGGATTTGCTGTGTGGATGATCTACAGGAAGAGACAGCAGCAACAGTGGGGGCCCTGAGCCAGTGGAGAGTTCGGCTTGTTCAGGCAACAGTAAGATGGCCAGTGAGGCTTGAGCCAAATAAGCACGAGGAAAGTAACAGTAGCTGATGGCGTCAGACAGGGTGTGGAATCAGGTATGGCCTTGAACATAGATCGTGGTAAGGGAGTTTAGAGTGTGTTCTGATGTCTTCTACATACATACATACGCGCAAGCCTTTTGCCTTTCCTGTTTTAAAATCTTACAACTTTAAAGTAGTGATAACCATTTCAAGCCATTCAAATGAGTAATGTGTTCTGTAGAAGATCTGATTTGCTCTTCTAGATACTCTTCAGGGGCAAAGCCATTCACTCCTGCTATTTTTCAAGGCAGCTACCAACTACAGCCATAAAAGCCATGGCTGGGCCTCTCTGTTGTCTCATTTCCCTCACCTGTGCTGTCAGAGCTGGGGTGGGCGTGGACTGTGTTTGCCAGTGTGTGGTATGTGTTTCAAGAATGTTAATCTCTACAAAGAGTCATTTTATGTTTTCTGGCACAACTGATAATTTTCATCCTGTATCCCTTTTTTTCTAATTTGCTCAAATATTCCTTATGCTCCCCTGTAGAGTGTGACAACCTGGGGTAGTAACAGAAGTATTTGACAACTGTGTGAGTTGTGGGAACATGCCCCTTTTTGTTAATAGAGGCATAATTGTAACCAAAGAAATTTAATTTCTTCTTTAAGAATGAGTGCAAGAGAAAAAGGAAATATGAAAATTACCATGTATCATGAATACATTAAGAGTTCTCTGTGTAATAGTTCAAAACTGATCTATGGCCAAAATTAAAACCATATAAGCATACCGTAAATCTTGACTATTACTGTGTTTGCTTCTAATTCTGTTTGGAGTAAGCCTTCGAATGCTTTCCAGAATGATGTGAGTCACAAATAAATAGAAAAAGAGTTATCCTGTCTTTCATTTATTTTATTTGTACATAGCCATTTCAAGAAAAAAATGATTTTAAAAATACAATTCTGTCCCAGAAATGGATCCTTATCTGCACAACCAATGAAGAAAAAAAGAGCATGCAAACAAACTCTGGTCTTTTGTAGTAACCAAGTGGAAGATGCAGTTATTCCAATAGAATATATAAGAAGCTCTGATTTGACAACTGATAGCACAAAAGAGAACCCAAATTTCACTGGTTTGATGCAGGTAAACACAATTTTACATATGGGTGTGATAAGGTTTGCAAACCCCTGGAAAAGGCCCATATGAAACAAATACAACATAGAAATCTGCTAAACACCACTTTCTGACATGCGCCTCCCACCCACATCAGTTTTGTTATTGTTGCTGTATTTTTTACTTGCTTAGCAATAAGTAAATGGGTGATCATTTAAAATCAAAATTCTAAGTTGATACTTGCCCAATTAATAAATTATCTCATGCTTTCAAATTACTTTTGATCTTGATTAATTTATGATTACTGAAACGTACTGCCATGTAGAGAAGAGACTGGTTATACAATTATCAAATTTGTTCCCTTAGCCATTCTGACAGTATTCCAAAGGAGCCAGTTTCCTAAAAATAAACATTGCTGATGACCTAGGTTCTGTTGTCTCAAAAAAGCTATTCAATTTCACATTTTTAAGATTTCTGTCAAATTTTACTTGCTTGATGCCTCTACATGGTGTATGTGACATTGTCCAATCAACCCACTCTCTGGCTCTGAGCCACTAGTGGATGAGAGCTGAGCAAACAGCCAGCCACCAGAGAAGATGCCTAACGCCTGCCCCCATGGTAAGGGCTTTCAGCAGGGAGCAGCACGCACATCTTGAGGAGAGGAAGGAAGATGTGGTGTGGCGTTGGGGATGCTTGATGAGAGCAGAACCAAGCGTTCAGACTCCAGCAAGGCCTGGGGACACAAGTGACACAGGCTGGCACTGCACTGCTGTTCACATACCGACTAGCTCTGAGGTGCAACCCGCATGATAGAAAAGTGCAATCTGCGTGTGCAGACAGCTCTCACAAGTGTGAAGAAAAGGTTAATAACCACAAATACACCATGCGTGATTTCCAGACACCTCTCACACGGATCTAGCTGGGAAGCAATAGTTATGTCAGGATTTAGGAGGACACAAAAGGTTTAACTTGAAACATATTGTGTTAAGGGATGAACCTTTTAATGTTTTTCCCTCCACTCTCCTTAATGAACGTGCATCTTCGCCTTCAGAAAATAGAGTCAATAGCTGTGCAGAGTTGAAGAAAAACTTCCTCTGGTGTTCCCTCTGCATTTATCTGTATTGAAAAGGGAAAAAAATAAGAGTCTTAAGAATTACTTGTAAATAAGATCATTTTTAATACTGAAAAAAAGATCACCTGCCTATAATTTGCTCTGAAAAATTTTAAAGCACAAAACCCCCCCAAACCAGAGGAAAAAAGTGAGTAGTAGTTGTTTAAAAACTAGGTGCCTAAATTAAAACAACAGTGGGATACCACTACACATCTATCAGAATGGCCAAAATCCAAAACACTGACAACACTAAATGCTGGTGAGGATGTGGTGCAACAGGAATTCTCATTCATTGATAGTGGGAATGCAAAATGGTACAGCCACTCTGGAAGGTGATGCAGTTTCTTTGAGATACAGTCTCGCTCTGTCACCCAGGTTAGAGTGCCGTGGCATCATCCTAGCTCACAGCAACCTCAAACTCCTGGGCTCAAGCAACTCTCCTGCCTTAGCCTCCTGAGTAGCTGGGACTACAGGTGCACACCACCACACCCGGCTAATTTTTTCTATTTTTAGTAGAGGCGGGGTCTCTTGCTCAGGCTGGTCTTCAACTCCTGACCTCAAGCAATCCTCCTGCCGCCTCAGCCTCCTAGAGTGCTAGGATTACAGGTGTGAGCCACTGTGCCCAGCCTGGTGTTACAGTTTCTTAAAGTAAACATACTCTGTACCAAACTTTTCAGCAGTTGTGCTCCTTGGTATTTTTAACTCAAATAGTTGAAAACCTAACGTCTACACAGAAACCTGCACACGTTTATATTAATAGCAGCGTTATGCATAATTGACAACCAAGATGTCCTTCAGCATTTTAATGGATAAACGGTGATACATCCAAACAATGGAATAATATTCAGTGCTGAAATGAGCCATCAAGACATGAAAAGACATGGAGGAAACTTAAATGCATATTACTAAGTGACAGAAGCCACTCTGAAAAGGGTACATACATATTGTATGGTTCCAATTATGTAACATTCTGTAAAAACCAAAACTATGGAGACAGTGAAAAGATCACTGGTTGTCAGGAGTTGGGGGTAGGGAGGGATGAATAGGCAGAGCACGAAGGATTTTTAGGGCAGTGAAACTGCCCTGTACGATACTACAGTGGTGGATTCATGTCATCACACACTGGTCCAGACCCATAGAACGTGCACCACCAAAGAGTGAACCCTAACGTAAGTCATGGACTTTGGAAGATTATGATGTATTGATGTAGGTTCCTCTGTTGTAACAAATGTGCCACTCCTTTGGGGGAGGTTGACGGTTGGGGAGGTTGTAGTTTGTGGGGGCAGGGTAGATGAGAACTCTCTATGCTCAATTTTGCTGAGCTTAGACCTAAAGTTGCTCTAAAAAATAAAGTCTATTTGAAATAGTAACAACTAAGTGCCTGTTTAAAGCGTTGCTAGGGGTTATGGAAAGACTTTGGAGATGCTTAAAATGAGACTTTTGAGTGTTCTGGGGGCATTTGGAGTAGGGTGGGAATAGGGCAGAGATTGGGGGATGAGGGTGAGTGGTGTGGAGAAGAAAGCAAAAGCTAGGACCACCAAGATTAGGTGTGCCAAGGGCAGAGTCTGCTTGGAGGTCATTGATACGCCAGCACAAGAAGCCAACAACAGAGAAAGTGGGAAGGGGAGCCGATTTTCTGGGCATGAAGACATTACCCCTTCCCCTCTCCTAACATCACACCAACCACCGAGATTTGTCCCGTCACACATGTAGCATCTACAGAAGGTAGAGACCTGGTGAAGCACCTGGGAGGCTGGGGTGATGCTGGTGGCATGTGTCACCACAGGACCAACTTTGACAAATGGCACTCAGGTTACACTGGAAATGCTGGTATGAGGCATTACCAACTTAAAGCGGAACCAGAGCTTCTGCCCAACTGTTGGCCTTGATAAAACGTGGACCATGGGCAGTGAGCGGGCACTGGTAAGGGCTGCCACGCTGGTTTAGTGCAATTGGGCTACTACAAAGCTCTGGGGAAGGGAAAGCTCCCAAAGCAGCCTGTCATCATGGAAGCCAAATTATTCAGCAGAAGAGCTGGGAAAAGGAAGTACGTGTGTGGCGGATGACGGGGAGTGGGGTGGGTGTCCTGGTGGCTTGAAGCCACATGGAGGGAGGTGCATTGACTACTAACAAATGGAAAAAAAAAAAAGGTAGAGGCCTCGGGAGCCACATAAGCCTCATGAGAGCAGGGGAGAGTGCAGCAAAATGCAGTTTTCCAGGCCTCATTTCCAGCGGGTCTCATTTGGTGGGTTTGGGCTGGGCCTTTAATCTATATTTAACAAATTCTCCAGATGGTTTTGTTGTGGGCCGTCTTACACCCCATTTTGAGAAACACTTGATGATTTCTTCAACTCTTGTCTACCTACCTAAATCTTTAGGCAAATGAGTTTCAATTTTGCAACACTAGGGACTTAACTGATTCCAGAGGTAGAAGGAATTCTCAAAAGAAAATCTTCCATCTTGTAATTCCCAAACTGGAAAAATCCCAAATGTTCACCAGCAGTATATGGATAAACAAATTATGACATAAACGTGGAATACTACAGTAATGAAAAAAAAGAACCGCAGCTATATTCAACAACACAAAGTTGGGAGAAAGAAGCAAGTCTCAAAAGAATATGAGTACAGTATGATTCAATTCATATAAAGTTCAAAAGCAAAGCTAAATTATATTGGTTAGGGGTTCATTCAGGGGAGAAAGCCATAAAGAGAAGGAAATGATTATCACAGGAGCCAGGATTGTGGTTACTTCTTGGGGAGAGGAAGGAAGAAGTGATAGAGCAGACATGGTGGGAGAGGGTGAAGCTTCCGCAAAATTCTATTTCTTGACCAGCATGGTAGTTACGTGGGTGTTCGTTTTATTCTTCACACTGTACATAGCGCTTTTATGCATTCCTGCATGTATACTGTATCTTACAATATGGAAGTTAAAAATTAAAAAATTTTTAAAGTTTTAAAAAGTTCCTCCTCCCAATAAATGTGTCATACTTTGTCCTCACAGAAGAATCAAATACAGCAATCTACAGCTCATCTCCTGCTAGAGGCTCTCGATCTGGAGGGCAGGGGCTACGCCTTTGCCACAACTTTGTCCCTCACAACACCTTGCTCACTGCTCTACCTCTTCTTCCTCCTCCTTTCAACCAACAGGCATTTCCCGGGTGCCCACAAGGTGTTTTGTGTTAGAGATACCAAGTTGAATAAGAAACAATGGTTCTGCTCCCGCAGAGCTCACAGCTTAAGGTAGAAACGACCACATTTAACAGGAATCTACACTGTTAAGAGGTAAACATAGGAGCTATGGATAAAGGGGCACCTTGCACAATCTTGGGAGGGCAGGTGAGCTTCCTGAGGAAGGTAATAACCATCATCGTCTAAAATGATAAACATTACCAGTAATGACACATAAGTGCTTTTTAAATAGCCAAGTAATCCTAACAATGATCTTAGAAGACAGGTATTGTTATGCCCATTTTACAGATGATGAAACTGAGGCTCTGAAAGATGAATTAAATTTCCCAAGGTCATAGAGTTAAGTAAGTGGCAGAGACCTTTTTCAAATCCAGGTCTCTGTCTCCAAAGTGTTTGTACTTACTGACTACATTACAGTATGTTGACCAGTTCGAACAGCTGGATGGTCGAATATGGGGCGGGGGTGAGTAGCAAGCAGTGCAGCTGGAACTGTAAGCAGAGGTTGGGCTATGAAGAGCCTTATGTACCCTATTACGTGACAATAATGAGGGGCCAAGTACAGGTTTTTAAAGAATGGGTTGACATAATAAAACATAGGCACACAGCAAATCTTTGATAAACAACAGGCATCAGGAGTGTTCAGTTTAGTTTGGCGATGCCAGTGAAGATGGCCTAGAGGGACACACATGTATTTGACAATAAAGGAGAAAGCGGGCCTTCCCCATGGAGGGAATGGCATGTGTACAGGCACTGAGGTCTGAAAGCACCTGGAGTTTTCAGGAAACAGCGAGTCATTTGTTGAGCACAATGCAAATGCTGCCGGGGTCAGGGGAGGAGGGAGGAAGGAGGAGAGGCCGGAAAAATACATGGGGATGAAGAGCCTCTAGATGTACCTATTCAGGACATTTTATGTAAATGGAATCACGATACATGGCCTTTTGTGACGGGCTCTTTCACTTGCACGATGTCTTCAAGGTTCACGTACTGCATTCGTGCAGTACTTCATTCCCTTTTCTCGCTGAATGATGCTATGTTGCCCTTAACCTGAATGTTCGAGGCACGCCTTGGGACGCCTGCCCTCCTCACATCCATCGTCAGCAAATCTGTGCCTGCCCACAGCCCTGCTGAACAGTCACCCGACCGTGCCTTGTCAAGCCCTGGGAGGAGACAGGAGAGGAAGGGGTCGCTAACGCACCCTCCGCTCCTTCTCAGGTGCCCTCCCTTGCGGCCAGGGTGGGTGTGAATCCACAAACACCTGGTCTACTGTTGACACTGTCCACGATCGTTTCAGTGAGAAACACGTCAGGTCTCTGGTCCCCAAGAAGTTCCATGAGCACAAAGACTCGACACAACCCTTTTGTGAACAACGTAAGTTCTTCACCCTAGTGATCCAATTCTGTCTCCTGCACAAATGCTTCCCCAAATCCGCCCCCGGTCTCTCCCAGAAGAGAGAGCTGATTAGACGAGGGACTGACCCAGCCACCTCCTACTTCAGCTGCATGCGAGTTTTCCCATTGCAGTGTCGTGGCCAGCCGAGGGGCGCCTGCATGGCACTTTCAGCCTCAGTTATGCCCCCTGCTTCATCTGGACAAGCCCCACCTGTTCTTGGGCCTTTCTTGTCCTCACAAGGTGGTCAATATTTTGCAGCGTCTTTATTTACCTGTTCTCCAGTGTCTTGCTGAACTCCACTGGTTCCTTGCATTTAACTGACTTAACATGTTCCACTTCTACTAACTGGCCCTGAAACATTTCTCTTCTGCAATCCATCTTCTGTAACCAATACTACCCAACACTGCCCAACCTTATATATGTTTTT